CATCCCCTTCTCCCACATTCAATCTTTCCCAGAATCAGGGTCTTTTTCAATGAGTCAGTTCTTTGCATCAGGTGGCCAAAGTATTGGAGTTNGAGAGATGGGGAGGGAGAGAGAGAAGAAGAGAAGGAGGGAGAGAGAAATCAAGTGAGAGAGCTCTGGTCTCCTCCTCTTATGAGAACTCCAGTTCTGTCAGACTAAGACTCCACCCCATCACCTTGCTGCTGCTGCTGCAAAACTGCTAAATCGTGTCTGACTCTTTGCAACCCCACGGACTATAGCCCTCAGGCTCCTATGTTCATGGGGTTTCCCAGGCAAGAATACTGGAGTGGGCTGCCATTTCCTTCTCCAGCCCTATGACCTTATCTAACCTTAATTAAGTCCTTAAAGCCCCCATCTTCACATACAGGTACATAGGGAATTAGAATTTCAACATAAGAATTTGGTGGCGGGGGGAGGGGGGACCTAATTCAGTTAACAGTGAGCTAGTCCATCCTGAAGGAAATCAGTCCTGAATATTCACTGAAAGGACTGATGTTGAAGCTGAAACCCAATACTTTGGCCACCTGATGCGAAGAACTGACTCATCTGAAAAGACCCTGATGTTGGGAAAGATTGAAGGCAGGAGGAGAAGGGGATGACAGAGACTAAGATGGTTGGATGGCATCACTGACTCAATGGACATGGGTTTGGGTGCACTCCGGGAGTTGGTGATGGATGGGGAGGCCTGGCGTGCTGTGGTTCATGGGGTTGCAAAGAGTCGGACATGACTGAGTGACTGAATTGAACTGAATGTCCATGTGCACATGTATTTTGAGACAATTATAATTTTAACTGATTATTTATTGAGAACTGGATGTAGGAACTGAATACATAATTATAATGAGCTATAATTATCTAGCAGCTATTATACAGTTAGCCCTACGCCTGCTGTTTTACATACTTTCTTGCTAATCTTTGGAAGTATTATTATACCCATTTCAGAGATTTCTAAAAATACTAAAGCTCAGAATAGTTAAACCTAAAGACCATAAAGCTATTAGGGTGAACCAAAGCTTAAAGTCAACTCTCAAACTACGAGCCACTCTTTATTTTCTGAAGTCAAGTGACTTCTACTGATCCAGAATTATCTATCTAAGGACCCACTCTTAAAGACAGATCCATCAGTTATATTTATAATTACGGTCTAATGAACAGAAATGATATTTTAACCCTAAATGCCTAAATTTGGCCAAAAAGTTCATTTGGGTTTGGCCAACCCAATACATGCTTGTGGTTAACCAAGAAAAAATTGGGCAGCAGTAGTGAGCTTCCCAAGTGGGCAGTGACAAAGAATATGCCTGCCAATGTAGAAGACACAAGAGATGTGGGTTTGATCCCTGGATCAGGAAGATCCCCTGGAGTAAGAAATAACAACCCATTCCAGTACTCTTGCCTGGAAAATTCCATGGACAAAGGAGCCTCGTGGACAACAGTCCATGGGGTCACAAATGAGTCAGACACGACCAAGCATGCACACATGTGTCTTGGATGTGCATGGACTGATAGGGCCATCTGTTTCCCAGGTGACTGCTGATTTTCATGTAACAGAGGTAGGAGTGCTGGTGTTGCACTCTGGAAAATGTCACATTTCGCTGTCAAGGCTACAAACCTAAGCACACACTCAGAACACGCCTGCATCCTCTAACACTCATACCCACACTACAGTCAATGAACCAGAGCACTACTCAGAACTTAGGGTCAGAACAGCACACACTAGGATATACCAGCGTGACCAGGAAGACAGCTACTCTTCTTCAACAAAGGTCTTGGCAAGCAGCCAAGTTTGAAAGGTGTCCTCACAAAGGATACAGTTTTTAAAAGACGGCCAGTAAAAAGCCATCAAAGCCGACACTCAAAGAACTGGCTTCACACACACGCTTTGTGGTCAGCACTGTTAGTCACAGGACGATACACGTTAGGAGAATAGCTATTACCGCTGAGTCTTGATATAAAACTCACCACATCTAGATTCAGACAGAACTGGCTACAGGGCACTACACATTTGCAGTTCCCACCTACGGCACCCCCATCCCTTCACACTCGGTACAAGGATACTTAGGGTGTTAACTTCATCTTGACTTTCCTCGAGCTTTCCTGTGTCTCTTTTCTCTATACACACAAATGTTGATGAGATAAGTTTAGCCAATGGATATGGCATAATCAGTTCTACTATAATGCTTGCCTTGAAAACAAAAAAATTTTCAATAACATTGACATATTACAGAATGATCTAAATATAATGTGAAATTTGCATTTGTTTATGAAAAATTTTGTATCAGAAACTCCAGGTGAATGTAGAAAACATACCAAGTTGCAATGAGCACTGTAGGAATACACAAAACACACAGAACTGCACACCTCAGGAGCACAGTGTGTCTACATCTGATGCTGTTGTTTCCTCTTTGACTTCGGATAACCCTCCTTCCACTTCATAATAACTTGCAAGCTTCCATGCTTCCAAAGACTGTCCTGGAGGGATCCTCCACTCTGCTGAATAGTACCCCTTCCTCCCAGCCTAGTTCATTATTTTCCTCTCTATTTTCTGTTCTTCAAGTTTTTCATCTTTCTCTCATTTTTTCTTCCTCTTTTTCTCTTGCACACAGAGCGGCAAGCATGTGAGTAGAAGCAAAGGCAATGGGCACACACTTCCATAAGCCAATTTCAGGTCTTATTCAAGATAAAGTGACAGGAGGGGCAGTATAGGGTTGAGGAAGTGGGAGGTTCAAACTACTGGGTGTAAAATAAGCTACAAAGATGTTTTATATAACACAGGAAATACTTCATAATAAGTATTTTGTAATAACTGTAAATGGAGTATAACTTTTATAAAACTAAAACTGTAGTTTAAGAAGTCAGTGTCACAACAGAACTGTATTACCAACAAACTAGTTAGAATTTAATTTCATAATGATAAGACACAGATCAAGTATAAAACTGATGGAAAGGGACTCTGAACCCAACCTGGCTCTCTCTGAATTATATTCTTTCTATTTTGAAGTACCAGACTGGCACACACTTTTTAGCCTTCTTTATGACAAGATGTCAAAAGTCAGCTCAGCACTCTGTATTATCAAACTATTTTGGTCAATAATTCAATCTTTCATTCTCTCAAACCAATTATCTCTAGTCACAACTCATTTAAATGAAAGGTACTTGGATCATTTTCCTTTTCATTACCTTAAGAACTTAGCCTTGTGTATAATATACAGAGCAAGAGCTTGTAAACAAACCACTTGAGTTGGATTCTTTGCTTCCTAACATTTCCATCTCTTACTACCTGTTTAACCCTTGTCCACTTGACTTAACTGAGCCTTTATTTTTTTTGCTTCACATCTAAGGACTGCTGGGAGAATTATTATACAAGATAAAGTGCCACATTGATTAGTTTTATATATTTTTTAATCACTTAACATGAATAAAACTGGGCGATTATTTTTAATAGGTGCCTACCATTTTTCCATGCGTGTCATTGATAAAGTTTCTGAGTGTGAGCTCCAACTACATTTTCCTATTTCTCTGCAGTTTTAGACTTTGCAGAGTGCAAGTATTTTTAGGAGCATATATGTTGCACTACGATAGACTGCACTAGAGAGCAAAATTTATCACAGAGGACCTTTTAATTATGGAAGCTTCAGTTTCTTTTTCAGTGTTTCATGTTAGTTTGCAAATTAGGTTAAGTAAATTAGCTCACGTTGTCTCAAATTATTGATTATAACTTTGAACAGTGTAATCTAGACAGTTATGACCAGGCTTGATGGAAAACTATCCAGGGCCCTTTCTTTTTTTTTGTTTCAAAAGTTCTGAAAATTCTATCTACATCAATTTGTATGTTAATGCTTTCACTACTGAATCTGATTTATAACATTGATTCAATTGCTAATATTATCAAATAGCATATTTTTTATGGTAACTTTTTCAAGGCTTCTTTGCAAATGGTTAAGAAGGGGGAGGGGAACACCCCATGCACAGTCACAATTATCCAGGCTGCATGGTTTTATCTAAATTTATTGACTTACTTAATCAAATAATACCAGGTGAGAAAATTTTCCCTTAAGAAAAATGCAGGGTAGAAACTGTACATAATAAATGAACAAAACACCTCTCTTTACAACTTCTGTGATCCCAAACAAAAACAGGTAAGTGAAAATTCAGATGATAGTATCTAAATCACAACATTATGCTGAAAAAACTCTGAAGTACAAGCCCAAAATTTAATGTGATCTAGAGAATCCCAGGGATGGGGGAGCCTGGTGGGCTGCCGTCTATGGGGTTGCACAGAGTCGGACATGACTGAAGAGACTTAGCAGCAGCAGCAGAGATTAGAAACATTTTACTAATCTTTGACAAATATTTGGGTCATCACAAGCAAGAAATTATTGTGCATTTCTTTTGCTTTCCAAAAATCTACTGTACTAACTGGAAAGTATAAATGTGGCTACATGGGCTTCTAAGGCTCCTGACTTGGAAGATAAGAGTGATAATGTGTTTCATACATGAAAAAACCATGTAAGTATCGCAGGCATGTTAGTAAGGAATACAATCACTGCAGAGTAGGAGAGAAAAAAGAAGCAAACCGGAAAGTCCTGGCAGAGACCTCAAGCACAACATTCAACCCAATATGTTGAACTGGACAGAGTAAAGTCCAGGGGACACTTTGTTTTGCCTCTCCCTTGAGCATCCCTATTCCTAAACAAGTGGGTCACAGGCCAGTGACCACATGAGGAGTAATATTCCCCAGCCACATCCTCAAGTTATTCCCCCGGGTTCTCTCTGCAACCATTCTTACTGTGGTGACCACCCGCTTTTATATCCAGAAGCTTTAGCAGAAAGACACTTGTTTATCTTACAGCAAATTAGGGATCATTTGCTACCAAAGATTTCCAAGGAAAGATTTCCCTTGGCAAGAGCAGAAGACAAAGCTCTGTGTGGGCCACATACCAGCCACCCCACCGGGGTCTTACTTGTTCTCGTTGCTTGCGTCGTAGCGGGGCATGGGGTCTAGGTCATTCCCATTCACGTCATAGCTTGCCAGAGCATCCTGTGGTCACAGAGGAGAGAGAGAAAGGATACAGATGTTCATTAATTAGCCATGGACCTGAAGGCTCATGACTCCTTAAACACATTTCTGCAAGACAGTAATTAGATTAAATAAAACACTCACAGTCCAGTGGTATCAGAATGCCTTGTTCGATAACAATCAGTGTCATATTTTGTCCCATAAAGGTGAAGAAATACTCTCTACAGACCAAAGGTGTGCTCAGTCCATCCTTGCCAGCAGTGTTCCCTCATACCTCGCATTGACCCTTCACCCCAATAACCAGCTACTCTGCAAAGTACTGCTAGACCACCTAGAAGCAAAGTGATTTAGTCTTCGTAGACTCTCTCTATTCCTTACTTCATTTCTTGAGTGTGTGAATACATTACTACAATTCAGAGATTTCTGGAGACAAAGATCATTCACAAATAACTGGCAAGTCAATTAAAAATGAATGTTAGAAGTCTACTGTATCCGGTTATCTTGGGACCTCTATGAGGCAATATTTGTCTGGTTTCAGATGTTTTATCTACTATGAGAGAGCCTACAATTCAAAACTTCTTATTTATACCCAATGGGCTTTTGCCCCAACCAAAAGAATAAAGTTTTACTTTATGTCAAGGTTTCAAATGAAACAGAAGTTTCTCTGAAACCAAAACTTCATTTATTTGCTTTTTTAACTAATTGTGAAAAATATTCAAATTTCTAAGAAAAAAAATTAGTGGATTATTCCATCATTCAAATTTATATCACAGTAAACAGAACTAATTTAAGATGTTTTGAATTTTCTTATGCTTTATGATTTCTGTTATCAGCTTTAAGAAAGTGAATGCTCTTTGCTTTCTGCTTTCTTATCAAAGACTCTCGTTTCTGAAAATAACCTATAGGTACAGGGAGTCTGAAATGTTTGGGGGAAGTAAGTAAAATACACATGACATATAAAGACAGTAAGTCCTGCTCTAAGTCCCATACAGAGAAACATACAAAGTAGCCCAACTTAGTGTTCATTCAAGCACGAAGGGTGATATCATCTAATTTTACTCATAAGGAAACAGAGGCTGAGACAGGTTACATAACTTGGCCAAAGGCGTGAAACAAATTGCCTATGGAATGAAGACTGGAACCCAGACATCCCATCTAACCCAATGTGTTCTTCTCTACTTTCACCAGCTCTGACTTTAGGAGAACCAAAAGGGCACCAGTACTGCTAACTGCACAGGTAAATTCTAGAGAATTGTCTTTCAAGGGAGGAAAAAAAATGAAAAAGGTAAAGAATGCAATCACATTTAGGTTAAGGCTCTTTGTATTTAATCAGATGAATTTCAATGCAGTGGAGAATAGGTATGCTCTATAAAAACTGTATTGCATATGATAAGAAGTCTTTCTTATCATGCACAGCCATAGCTCTGTTCTTTATTCGACCTGGGCTAGCTCATTTTAGTGTTCAGGCCTCAGTGTCTACCCTGTAAATGAGGAGTCTGAACTAAGGTTCCTTTGCAAGTTCTAAAAGTCTATTCTGTGAAGAGACAGAGGTTTACCTGTGTGTGCTTGGAGGCAGCGGGAAGGCAGCCACTCAAATGTTTGGTTCAAATGAGAACTAAACGAATTTGCAGTTCCTCCTCTCTCTCTCTCTCTTTTTCAACCTTAGGGAAAATCATCTAATTTAGGAGAAACTGTTTCAATATTTCATTGTAAAAATTGATTTGTGAAGTTTCTTGGCTGAATTTTTGAAACAAAAAGGGCAACAGGATTGAATGCTGAGAGGCAAAGTAGTTAAAGTTGATCAAGTATCAGGTGATATTGGGTGATTCTGAGTGAAGGAAGGTCTTCATAGGTTAGGAATTCGGGGGGCTGTGTGAGCCAGTGGTAGTTTCTGATGTGTCAAGGAAGTGACTTGGAAGTATTTTATCTGCAAAGATAATCTTTGCAGGTTTGACTGACAAAAGGAAAACTAATTTGAGATTAAGGGTCATGCAATAAGTGATATTAAGCAAAGGAGAAAGAAACACTGGAGAAAATATATGGACATTTTTACCTGAATGGTTTCATGTGAAGCTGAAGCAGTATTTGAGAGAGAGAGCAGAAGAGAGATGGGAACAGAGACAAACAGCTGGTGATTCCACTGTGAGGAGAAACCAAGCGCCTTCCCAGGCTGAAGATAAATGGTGAGAGAGAGAGAGAAATAGCAGATTTCAAGAGGACATCATATTCTTTTCTTGGAATCTCAGCCTTAAAGAAAAGGCCATGTCCATTCTGAGTGCATCCACTACGAGGTTCCTCAGGGCCACTGCTGTGTCCACCAGTCACTGAGGACCGATGAGGAGAGAGAGGCAGCAGGCCTGTGACAATGGCGAATCCTCTGTCCTGAAGTGATTAGGGAGCCTGTGGGCCAAGGCTCTCTCAGGACTCCCACCAGCTCAGGGCACAGTGAGATAGGCTAGGCTTGCTGACGTTGCTCCTTTAACCACCATGAATATATTAGGTTGACACAAAAGTTCGTTCAGGTTTTTCAATACAATATTAGATGAAAACCTGAAGAAACTTTTGGCCAACCCAATAGAAGAGAAGAAAAAAAAATCTGAGGAGGCGTAGTCCTCTGAGTTATAGCTTAGAATTTTCTGTGGGGCTCTTCTGTAAACACAGGGCAAACCCTGGCCCCTGACTTTCCTCCTCAAGGGTCAATATGAGTCCTGATTTCATCATGATTTAGAGCTGCTTGTCTTTTCAAGGCTGTGAAAGGAAATTTGTAAGCTGACAGAAAATCACCAACTTCAATTTTTTTTTTCAATAACAACATGAAAACAATATAGGGAAACTCACACCACCGAAGTTTTGGAATTAAAAGTACCAAGTCGTGAAGTATAGAACGGGACATGGGTAAAGGTGACTGAAGTCTTGATGGGTTTGCGGCAATACCAGCATTCTAGTGGAAATAGTCGTCAACAGGAAAGAGGTCAGAAGGCAGTGTGGAAGGCACTGGTGTGAGGGGGCTCCACCAGGAGTTTCTGCAGCGTCCTGACAGGAATCAGAGAGCTACATCTGCAGATACTAGGGAGTCACTGGAGGCTCTTCAGTAACAAAATAAATACTTTAGGGAGAACACTGAGGTGTCAGGAAACACACATTTGGCGCAGAGAATGGCATATTGGGAGATACTTATGGACTTGTAACCAAACTTAGTGAGGAGAAGCTGGTGGAAGGGATATGTTTGGAGAGCAGGGGACAAAGGCGTCACCGACCTATTTCCAGGCAGGAAATATCACGGTGGTAAAGGGGACCGAGAGGCCCCACGGACAGAAACGACCTGTGTCCAGTGAGTACTGGGCATCACGACTGTGGTTTTCAGTGAAAGTACTGAGTCTCAGCCCTTTCACTTGCTCTGTGATCTCAGGCTCACCATATGTTCTGAGTCCTGGAATCACGGTTCTTCCTTAAACAAGGGAACTGACTGATTCCTGAGGACTATGGGGAGAATATTCATTATTGTCCTTTAAAAGGGGAGAGGCAGAGAGAGAAAGAGACTCACAGAATAACTTGAGTTATAAGTACACTTTCTCCATAAAGGGAAGTGGGAGTGTTATCTGGCTTCATGGATGAATTGTTCAGAGGAGCAGCTGTCGTCAGCAGCAGCTGGGGTTTCTGCTACCTTATCACCTGCTTTTTGTCATCACAACATCAAAGGCACACAAAAGTGGATAGCATTATCTCCTGATTCCTGTCCTCTGAGAGTGAATCTTCTGTAAGATGGGAGCAATACACAACAGCTGGTTTTCAGTGACTTTCCTCCTTTTGTTGTTGTTTAGTAAGTAAGTTGTGTCCGACTCTTTCGTGACCCCATGGACTGTATGTAGATGGACTGTGGACTGGCAGGCTCCTCTGTCCATGGGACTTCCCAGGCAAGAATACTGGAGTCAGTTACCATTTCCTTCTCTAGGGGATCTTTCTGACCCAGGGATGGCACCTGCATCAGCAGGTGGAATATTTACCACTGAGTCGCCTGGGAAACCTCCATGCTTTCCCCCATTTTCATCATCCTCATATGAGTTCCAGTGTTGCCCAGGAGGGAAGGCATTCTGACCACAGTGAACACTCACATAGTTTTGCATCAGATCCGGATGGGTCCTCTCAATGCCATCGTCCAGGATAGTGACCACGATGTTCTTGCCCGTGTAGCCTCTCTTCCAGGCTCCTTCAATGTTCATGTCTGACTGGCAGGGATGTGTGTTGTCACTGCAGTGCTAGAGGAGGAAGAGGGACAATTGGACATTGCAGATTACAAAAACGGAGAGGAGACGGGAGAAGCACCTACTTAAGACAATACATTAACTTAACGAATTTGGTGGACTGTCCGTTCAAGTAGAAGCACAGATCTCCAACACGACAACAGGGGAAGGGAGGAAGGAGAGATGTGGGTAAGGCACGTGAAACAGAAATCTCTTCTGCCAGTTCTGCCCTGCTCTAATACCATAGATCCTTTGGAAAAACATGATAAAGTATCTCAACAGCAGAGCAATGAGTGCCCCATTTTACTGTTGGCATGTATTAATGACACATAAAAAAGGCCTCGCAGTATTTCATTTATAAACCCCAACTAGATAACAGAAGAACATTATAATTTCTTAACCAGGCACCTAGTAAAGCCTGGCTACAAAGGAGAAAAACCTCAGCAGCTTCTGTGCAGTGTCAGCCAGGGGTGTGCCACTGCTGTGAGAAACCCATAAAAGAGGAAAAAAATAACAATCTCCTCAAACTTCTTTCAGTAAATTAACAATGAGTATTGCACCATAATTTGCAGGGGGTGAACACTCATTCAGCACTACTTTGAGAAGGGAGGGAAGAAGAGTGCACAGGCCACAAGGGGGACAGACACAGCAAAACGTGTGTGCGGGCTTTGAAGGGCAGGCTGGAGAGCCAGCGAACCTTAGCTCGTTATGTGTAGTGATTTCATTCCACCATGGCTACAACATACAAACACATCAGGAGACGAACTAAACCAGCAGTTCTTCCCAATACAATTGACTAGCATTCATCCAGCCCACACAATTATTCCTTCAAAGTCCATCTCTGTGAAATATCCCTCTGAGTGGTATTGTTTTCCAGGTTCTTAAGGCTCAGTTGGAGGAACAAAGGAAAAGGGATGTGCCACTCTAGCCTACTGCCATGGCAACGCAAGCCACCCCGGGTCCACACCATTCACTGTCTTCCTCCCGCTTTGTAACTGTTCAGCACTTCAGGAGGGGAGGAGAACGTGTGCTCCGTAGGCGCTAGGCATAATGGCGACCCACTGACACCGATTCATCTGACACATACTTTACTGAGCACTTATTACACGCTGGGGAATGGCAGTGAACAAGGACAATGAGGTCCCCGGTCTTCATGACCTCGCTAAACGGGAAACACAGATGATAAAGAAAACAAAGAAGACCATTTGTAGCACTCCTTATGTTTTAAAGGAAGTAAAGAGGGTGACATGGCAGTCAATACTGAGGGGATTGAGTACACATCTCTCTCGGAAGGATGGTCAAAAAAAGACTCCAGCTTTGAGAACGTGAAATGTGAGTTGAGATATGGCTGAAGAGAAAGAGCTGGCTTGCCCAAGAGCTCAGAGCTCGTCTCGGTAGTGCCTGTGCTTACTAGCTGCTTAGTAGCTCAGCCGTGTCCAGCTCTTTACAACCCCATGGACTGCAGCTCGCCAGGCTCCTCTGTCCGTGGGATTTTCCAGGCAAGATTAGTGGATGTGAGGGGAAATGGCACAGAAGGTAGCAGGTTAGAAGGGATAGCAGAAGTCAGGTCATCCTGGGCTTTGCAGCTATGACTTGACTTCTATTTTAAATACAACCTAAATGAAAGTCCTTGAGAGTCCCTTAGACAGAGGGACTAGTCTAGTCCCTTAGACAGAAGGAGATCAAACCAGTCAATCCAAAAGGAAATCAACCCTGAATATTCACTGGAGGGACTAATGCTGAAGCTCCAATACTGTGGCCACCTGAAGCGAAGAGACAACTCATTGGAAAAGTCTCTGATGCTGGTAAAGACTGAAGGCAGGAGGAGAAGGTGAGTGACAGAGGATGGAATGGCATCATCAACTCAATGGACATGAATCTCAGCAAACTCTGGGAGATAGGGAAGGACAGGGAAGCCTGGTGTACTGCAGTCCATGGGGTGACAGTCGGACATGACTCAGTGACTGAACAAAAAGAAAATGCAAGCTCACCTCTTTCCAAATTTCATCCCTCAAGGTCACATGATTACAAGTGGTAGACACCTCTAGTATCTCCTGACATGAATTTGTTAATTTATTCTTCAAAGGAGATTGCCTTTTGTTGAACATTATAAACACGCTTGAGTAGTTTTATGGATTCATTCTAACAAATGGTATACCCATCTTTCAACACAGATAATATCAATTTTGTTGAAAATAGAGGCTTATATATTTTATGAACATTTGCAACTTTCTGTTACTTTCTTGATTCCTTCTGGCACTTGAGGCCCTGCACACACTGACCCAACTTCCATTCTCCCCCTGCTCCCCAGTTTTTGGAGTACAGCTTGGGAACAACTTCCTCCGACAAAGCTTTCCCTCATTCTTCAGCCTAGTTGGCTATCTCTTCTCTTAGGAATGGAGACAGACAGACACGCACATATATTTTGTTCTACACAATCTAACCCCTGCACATTGAATTCTGCTGCACTATGACTGACTGTTGAAACTTGTATGTAAATTTTGTCTCCTTTGACTGTAAGCCCCTGGAAGACTATGCATTAAACCAATGCTAATCTAGGATTGCAGTCAATATTAGCTGATCAATTACACCCCAAAAGTGAGGGCATATTCTCACTTTATATCCAAGTTCACAACTGCCAAATGCTTGCTCCGCTGACCTCGTCAGAGATAGCCTAGCCAGCTAATGCTTGGTTAATAGATCACGAAAGAAAGAGTGCAGGTTTCCAAAATGCCAATGTTTTTCGGAAGTCTCATTCTGGCCAACAGTTTGGGCCGCACCTCATCAAATATTTTAATTTAACAGAAAGCAACTCTGACAGGTTTCTATTTCATTTTTTCCTTTTCCAAAACCTGTTCTGGCCACCTGTGGTATCATTTGTGACATGAAGTAATGTTAATGTGGCCAAGAAGTGGGCCGAAGGAAGGAAGTGTACAGGAAATGGGTCACCCACACATGGGATGACCATCCTGGAGTGGAAGGATGCTGCCTGAAATTGTAATTATGAAAACTGAAGAAAACCAGTCGTGTATGGAAAACATGTGTGTTCAAAGTGGAGCAATTAGGTTTCTTTCTTCCACCTCTGCTTCTGTTGAATCTGACTTCACCATTAAATATTTTTGTACCACTTTTTCTTTTCATCTGCGAACATGATACAGGAGAAAGAGGAAGGAGAGGAAATATCCTATTGATAGTTTCATATGGGTAATTTACTATTTCAGGTAGCTGAAATGTCAAAGAAAAAAAGATAACGAGAGCCAGGGGTGTTTCTGCAAGTCATAAGATTAGTGGACCCTTAAATCAGGACCCTTTAACCTGAATGTGACCTTTAGATTTTTAATACCTATTTCGAGTGGGCCAGGATTCCAAACATGTTTCTAATGTTGTTTCATATGCCCAAGGTACCCAAAGAGCAAAGACTGAAGAAAATATTGATGCCACTCAACATGGCCCAAGTGAAAAGGAATTAATCATTTCCTTAACCGCCTGATCAAAATGGTCTTTAAATTGGACTCTATTTATTTGACAGCAATCTATGTTAGAGCATCACCCAAAGGCCAAAGGAACACATATTAACTATGACGTCCTCATTCTCAGCCTGCCATGTTGAGAACTGGAGGAATTAATAAAACTAGTTTCTGGAATTCTGTTACCACATATGCAGTCCCTAGACTGGTATTCACAAAAGGGATGGGTCAGAAACTTCCAGCTTATTCCAGCTGATGAAAAACACATATTTGCACTGTATAGGTATGATAGGTATTTACAGTAAGTTGATGTACCTTCAGCTTTGAAAACTGTCTTGTGTTTCAATGATGGTCTACACATAGATGGCAACGTATTTAGAAAGGACACAAAGCAGCAAATATCTGCAGAAACAACGGTTACTATCTAGGTCTCTTATCCTTAAAACCTTTTATTCCTTTCAGGAATGAAATCTTAGATTGTTCTGTGAGTTCTAGAAACAGCCTCTTCCATACCAGGGCTATGAGCTATTTTGCTTATAAACCACTCTGGGTGTGTCCCCTTCTCTTATGTCTTTATAAACATATCACAGTGTTTGCTCAATGAAAGAACAGTCTGTACCCAAAATAAACACCTTTGTTATGCTCTCACCACCATTTTCTTCAGACTGGGGGGTTGGGAGGAACCCTCAATGTCATTGTTTTTAAACTTTTCCAGGTTCTTAAGGTCTCCAATCAACTGCCAATTTATATGCTGCCAATAGCCTGTTAACATTGAAAACATCTGTTGTTCATTGTCATTGATACAGTGGTTCATAAGACTGCATTTCTGACTATACAATGATGATAAGAGAGGAGAATTAAATATAAAAATCTGCTTTAAGAAACAGACTCAAAGACCCAGGAAATGAATTTATGGTTACCAAATGGGGGAAGCGAGGGAGGGATAAATTAGGATCTTGGGATTAATAGATACACACTAATTTATATAAAATAGATAAATAACAAGGTCCTACTGTATAGCATAGAACACAGAATAGAGTGTTCATAGAATGTTCAAAGTCTTATAATAATCTATAATGAAAAATAATCTGAAAAAAAGAAAATATATATTCTGAATACCAGAAACTAACACAACATTGTAAATCAACTATAGTTCAATAAAAATAGTTAAAATTTAAAAATCTATTTTATAGACAAACTCAGAAACATATCTAGTTAACTTATTAAGATGCAAATATACCTGGAATTCTTTGTAAAATCTGGAGTTAAGAGTTCTAAGAAGTGGAAAAAAATAGAATTGTTACTCCTTTAAGCGGACATAGAACTGACATCTAGATTCTTACCATAGTCAAGCGTTGTACTAATCCTTTTATATGAACTAGATTTATGTAAGACTCAGAACAGCTGGAGAGAGGTACTTTTATTATCTCCTTTTAATAGCTAAAGAACACAGGACTTAATCAGCCTTTAACCTTTCAGAGGTCAAACAGCTGGTCAATAATAGAATTAGGATTCAAAACCAAGCAGTCCTACAGTCTAAGGAGAAAC